AATATTTACTTTAAAATAGATATTCAATTCCAAAATTAAAATTAGGACTTAATTATATGTTTCATATTTTCTAATAAATCACGTTTTCCTAAAATAATATTTTATTAAATCACATTTTTTTGGAAGATCGATATTTCTTTTCCAAAACAAATATGTGTAGATATAAAGTCACGGTCTTTTTAATAAATACTACCATGAAACAGTGATTTTATCTTCCTATATGGATGGAGCCAAGTTTACAAATCATAATTGAATAAATATCTCCAAATATTGAAACTACTTTTAGGACAATATAAAAATAAGATCACCGTGTTTCACGGGTGTCATGGGGTGCCTAAGACATTCCCCATGCACAACCAAACCCCCAACATTCCCTATGCACAACCAAACCCCCAAACCCATTAATCTAATTTTCGTAGACTAAGTGATTGTCAAACACTTTAGGGTCCAAATTAGACCTCTCACGTGTCATCTATTTTTCCAAAGTCCTTAGACACCATAGGTGACTTAGCACACCATAATAATATGCTAAGTGGCGACTCCAATTATTAATAAATTGGCCCTACTCAAAATAAATTATAATTGGCCATAGCCACTCCGTCGCATTAAGCTCATTTTTCTGACCCATAAGTGTTTAAATATAACTCCTATAGAAATGGTGGGGAAAAATCTGAGCATGACAAATGTGTGTGTGTATATATATATATATATATATTTGTGTGTGTGTGTGTGTGAAATGTCAACAATGCCCCTCAACTAAAATGAAGAAACCAGGAGAAGTTCCTAAGCCAAAAGTCGCTCCGACTTCAAAAAATTTTTAAAATGATCCTGTCGATTCTAATTGGGTTAAAATAATTAAAAATTCACTTATAAAACTCCTAGCACGAGAAAATAACCTAAACGGCCCTCGAGTCCTGCGTGGCACGTAAAATGAGGCACAAAAAATAAATAACAGAAAAATTTAGAAAAATCTGAGACATTATAAATGAAAAGATATATGAATTGAAATTGACAATGATAACAAAATGCTATTAAGATTGTTGTGTGTTGAACAGAGTTTTCAAGTTATAAAAAAGTGCTTTATTTGTAGAATTTCTCTAATGGCAGTTGCTAACAGTTCAATAGCAGTTTGGGATGCTTCCAAGTGGAATGTCCGGATTGTGCCACGTATTCCATGTCTTCCCCAGGTTTCTCATAGTGTTAACATGTGTAAGCTTACGTGTTCTCATGATCTACAACTTATGATGAGTGATTTAGGTGATTGAATTCATGTTGCAAGCCTTTACACACGTTCTGGAACTGCTATGTGGAAAGGGCACCACATTCTGAAAATGCCAGTGGAAAGGACCATGACCTTTCATCTTTTGCTCAGCTTTATTTGGTAAATGCTTTATGTTTTTAGCTCACTTGCTGATTTTTAGCAACTTCCTCACCTACACAAGGCAAGTGGTTGCCTTCTAGAGTTGACACATCATTTGGTAGATTAATATAGTCAACTTTGATACGACTTCCTTGTATGGCAGCCACGTACACCAATTTTGCTAGAATTGTTCCACGTATAGCTCCTTTTAATTTGAAAACTGAATCCCACGTTTTGATTTTATGCACGACACCAATAATTTAACAACTTTCTTAAGCGGTTTTGACCCACTTTGGACATTCTGCCATTCATGTGGCAACCTTCATATCATGCTCCAAAAATCTCTCCTATTTGTAATATATCTAGGTTGAATCTTAGCCTTTAGGAGATCTTCTTCTTCTGCAATCCCTCACCTAATGGACCCCTTAATTTTAGGCACAATCCCAACTTATATGGTAAGTTGTAATTTATATTTGAAGTAACACGTTGTGTAATGTTCTAGATTTTTTTGAATTTTGAATTTATTTATTTTTTGTGCCTCGTTTTGCATATCACGTGGGCCCCGATGTGTTGTTTAGGTCACTTTCTTGAGCCGAGGGTTTTTTAAGTGCATTTTAATTATTTTAAGTCAATTAGAAGTGACGGGACCATTTTTATAATTTTTCGGAAGTTGGAACGATTTCCGGGCTTGGGAACTTCTCCCGATTTTCTCATTTTAAGTGAAGGGCGTTATTGACATTTCACATGCATATACATATGTCTATATCTATGCATTGGGATGATATTTTATTGGACATGGATGGAGTATGGTTGGTTAAGTGAGGGTAACAAGGTAACTTAAGCAAAAGGTGAAGTCACCCACAAGTTGACAAGTGGCATGCTTAGAATCACACCTTCAGTTACAAGACCAAGCTACCCCATTTTCTTTCTCATTTTTAGGCAAGACCCTTTTTCCCTCTAGTTCATCTTCTTCTCTCTCTATATCTATATACATATATACACATATTGTTTCAAGCTTGAATTTGGGAGGTTAGGATAAGATTTTGAGGAAGGCCAAAAAGAGAAAGTGAAAGAGCTTGACAAGGGCTATCATTTGAGACCACCATTGCTAGGGTTTAGAGGAGGTTCTAAATTAGGCTTGGCTAAAGACATGTTTGGCTAGCATACAAGTGAGGTAGGGATTTCTAATACTCTAAACTTTGCCTTTAATTGAATAAACATGCTTGAATCTTCTTGAATTAGCTTTGGTATATGGAAAGGTGAATTTAAAATGACTATGTGTTGATTTTGAAAGCATGCCATTAGTGCAAAAAGGTGTTTATTTTCATACTAGAGATGTATATAATGTGGCCTTAGTGCAAAAATTGCTCAAATGATGATTATAACATGATTGGTGATGATACTATTTCTATGAAGAACATGCTTGTGATTGAATTTAATGGGAATGCCATATTTGTGACTACATTGATGTGAATGTCATACTTGTGATTGAATTGTGGAAAATGCCATGCATATAACTTATACTATAGAAAATGCCATTGTTGTCGCATAAATGAAAACGAAGCTAAGATGATGAAAGTGAAGAATTTGCATAACATGGTGGAAAGGGGCAATGGGAAATGGTTGAAAAGAGGTTTATATATATATATATATATATATGTGTGTGTGTGTGAGTGTGTGTGTGTGTATAAAATGGAACCGGATTTTGCGAATCCGAAGCTAACTTGACCTGGAGGGAGCGTGTGCCGGTTTAGGATGTGTAAAGTTGATTACTAGGCTCCAAATGGTCGTTGGTTTAGAGGTCAAGGATAGCTAATCAATCTTGCCTCGGTAAAGTCGGTTAGCGTTTTTCAAAATGTGAGTTTAGGGTTGGTAGATACCAAGTTCAAGGCCGGTAGAGGCCAAGTTAGGGGTCGATTGAGACTGGGAAATTTTGAGGCATGGTATTGCATTCTATGCATACTTGTATCGAAATGCCTAAATATTATTATTGTGATTGATTCGTGAATTAAATGCTATGAAAACCCACGTATGATCCCAGTTTTCTTTTACCCCATATGTGTGATGTGTGGCTCAAGGGAGTCCAAAATTGGCGTCTTAGGCATCTCTTACTGAGCCTCCATGCTCACCCCTTCCTTTAACATTTTTTAGGTCATGATGGTGACGTGGTTGATGACGAACCCTCATATACGTAGTCAGGGTGGACGGAAGCTTACTTTTATTATTTTTGTATCAAATGCATAGTTGATGTAAATTCGACCGTAAGGGTAAGTTTGTAACTTGTAATCAATTGGATCATTTTCAATGTAGTAAGGATCATGTAAATGAATTAGGTATGATTTCATGTTTCCAAGACTCTAAATTGTTGCATTGATTTCATATTTAGTATTTTATGCATGTCGTGAGTTGGGACAGGGGCAAAGAGGTCAAAAATAACCAAAGACGGACGCGAGCGCTCGTTCGGCAGCAGCCCCATTTGTAAGGGAGCCACGAGCGCTTACAGCAGGGGGCGAGCGCTCATTCGGCAGGGGTCCCCCAAGCGTGGCATGCCTCGCGCACGCGCACAGGGGTGTCTTTCGAGCGCTCGTAGGACACACTACAAGCGCTCATGGTTAGGGGTAAGGCCCACTATTTTTTGAAGGTTCTTTGATGGTTTTGGGATTCCTCGTGTGGGTCCTACAGGGTGCATGGGAGGTTGGGAACACTATGGCCCCACCAGGAAATGAGCGGAGTGGCCAGAAATGACATTTTTACCCTTTTTAGCCCTAAAACGGGCGACCTTAAACCAATTCGTTTTTCTTCAATTCTAATTGACCCTAAGTGACCATGGCCTAGAAGACAGTTATAAGGTCCCCAATGCAATGCACGGTCCAAAAAGACTGATTTACCCTTGTAACACTAAGTGACCCGAATGGTGATCGAGGTTGGTTCTTTCATTCGTAAGCATTCTAAAGTGATTATAAATGACTTATAAGACTTCATTTAGACTTCTAATGCCGGGTACGGGTCATATAGACCATTTTACCCTTGGTGTTCTCGGGTTGGGTCGGGGCGGGCCGGGTCCCAATTAGCATTCTAGACCCCCGGGTTTAGGTCATTACCATGTATCTTTTGATGCACATTTCCTTACCATAATCCAATTCCTCTTGACTCAGTCTTTAGTTCCACGTGGCAACATCTGAGTTGTTCAATGTTTCAAAGTTCAAGTTGCTGGGTGGAACTGCTTCTAGAGTAGTGCTTCTCTTTTATCCCGTGACATTTTTTTCAAGTTGCTGGAACAGTAATCTAATGTGGCAAGTTCCCATGAAATCCGCCACATGCCAACTTTCCACAGCCCTAAATTGGTGGTATTAACACTTGGTTTTACTTGTCATTTTATTTTATTTTTTCCTAATTCCCAAATTTTAATTTCTATAGGTTTATTAAAGATAAAATTGTGAGAAAACTTACATTCTTTAAATTTTCCTTTCTTAATCTGCAAGCCAAGCAGAGCCTTAATTTAGTAGGAGAAAAAATCATCACTTTCCTTGCTTGCCCCAAGTTGTATCAACTTCCATGTTAAAAACAAAAAGAGAATGATGAAACTTTGGGTCTTTATCAACAATAAAGTAATATTCCAAAAGATTAAAGAAGAAAGAGAAAAAGAAAAAATAAAGAGCACCAGCATATTAATCATATTTATTTATGGTACATCATATCAAATTCATTCATATATTGACTCCAGACATACAACTATGCAAGCACTTGCACAAATCTTACGAGTCCATCCATTACTACTATGATGGCTCAAAAAATTTAAGTTTCTTCTTCCTTGGGAGGAAGAGAACAAACAACACACTCGTGATGCAGCAAGTCATGAGACAAAAGGTCCAAATTCGTCGAGAGGACATCAACCATATGTGCACGAATCTTTCTTGAACTTGATAGGTTTGGTGCTAGTGGAGTCGATAACCACAGGACAAGAAACTTGCATTTTATGCTTTGTTCTCACCAATTTCCCCACCACGTTACCTCGTGATCGAATCTCAAACTGTAATGTCATTGGAACATGAAGGCTGTCGTCCTTGGCGACTGCTAAACTTGATCCAGCCCCATACAAGGGAACCTTAGTTGCTTCTACACTCACTGAAACAGTTCTGCTACTCTTTCTTGGCTGATAATATTTCTTCAGCTGATACCCAAAAAAAGTAGAAAGTTAATTCAACTGCATTTATATAATGCAAAAAAAAAAAAAAAAAAAGAAGTGTACGAAGAAAAATATAAAATAACAATAATAATAATAATAATAATAATAAAATGAAGACAGAAGGCATGTTAATAATTCCTTCTCAAAACCAAAGATATCTCAAATGGTCAACAGAAACTCATTATTACATAAGAGCACAAACAACTGAGATTATAAATTAGAAGGTCAGTGTCAATCAAGATTGACTACTTTATAATGGGATACACTTCCTAGTTCATGATGTTTGTGCACAACAGTACTGTAAATGACCAAATTGAATCCAAGTAATCTATTGTTGTTTATTTACTTTGATTAATCATACATTTACTAACCATAAATGGCAAGGATGAGCAGAATTATCACCTGACCAGTTGCAACGGTAATCTCTGAGTACACGAGATTGATAGGCGAGGAGCTAACATGCATACCAAAAAAGGTAGCAGGGTTGTATATGCTCATCCGCAGTGAGCCATTCACTGTCAGCATCTTTGATGTGACCCCAGTGAAGTCTGAAACTGTCCCAATGTATAAGTTATTAACAGACATGCTCTGCGAAGATCAGATCATCCATCAGATCATCAGAAAGTGAACGTTTAACAGATAAAGCCGCGATTCATAAAGCAAAAATGACCGGCATGTGTGTGTGTGAGAGAGAGAGAGAGAGAGAGAGTGATTTAATTTTTTAACCGACATCCTCTAATGATGTTGAGATTCTGAACAATGGACAAAAGGTTAAAGTGTATTATAGCATTATTACGATGAAGCAAGCAAATTCTTTCAACTCAAACAGAACATCTTTAAGCGGGACCAAGACCTATCATACAATGACTAGATTTAAAGTTTTCTGAACCGAATACCAAATATTGAAACAGTATCAATAGCTTATGTAATTGGGAAAAGGTTTGGTTGTTGTTGTACCAATAGCTTATCTAAGATAAAGGTGAGAAGAAACCATATGGAATTTGATGAACCATTTTCAAGCAGGGGATCATTCACTAGAACAAGTGTGTGCATCCAAGAAACAGTTCAAGAAACTCGGAGGTAAATAAAATTACGAATTGCTAAAACCTCTGGTAAGGGAAGGAAAACTAATTTACTTTTGTCACTGAGAAAACAGAGGAAAAAAAATAAAAAATTTGGAATCCTAAAACCATCTTGGGATGGAAAGGATGTTGCAAGATTGCAAAATTACCCGAGATTCCTAGGTTTGCTAGGTACTTAAACAGAGGTAAGGTGAAGGAACAATAGTGTCTGTTAAGGGTCTCAACAACTTAATGCCATACAAATTTTATTGCAATATCCCAAATCTTATTGATATTTAATCTTCCACTGCTTTATTTTTTTCTCCCAACTTGTTTTGAAGCTAAGACAAGGGGAAAACCAGATGAAATTACGCCTGTAAATTATATGCAGGGAGTCAAGGATAACAAATCCATTTTTCTGATTGTTCTAAAGCTTTATGGATGGGACAATCATTTTAATACTACCATGGTAGCTGTCTTAAAACTAATTATGACTTCTGTAAAGATAATACTATGATTACAGTATTTAAACAAATCATGCCATCTTGATAAAGATTTTGACATTTCAGCACTTATTAGTTGAAACTACACTATTTCCATGAACCTTATATGTAGGAGCTACTTTTATACATTTTGTTCATGCAAACATTATTTATCTAACAAAGTGCTTGAGTGCACAAAATGTTACGAATCGATTCACTTTCAGAAAAAAAAAAATTGTTTCTATTCTACATAGAAACTTGTTGTAGTTTGGTGTTTATAACCAACTCTATGAATGACAATTTCCATCTCATCCACTTCAAATGCATCTATTTTTCATAATGTTCGTCAAATTGTTTAAATATCAAAAGAACCAAATCAAATATATGAGTGTATATATGTGCGAGGAAAAAAAAAATGAAAGAGTAATTTGGCGTACCTTCACAGTAACCTCTACTTTGTAAGGCCGGCTGGCACCCCATATAATCAGGCAAAACACAGTAAACAGAACAATAAAGCTAAAGAGAGCCAGCATGGCCTGAAACCTCCGAGAAAAACCCTTGTCCTCGTCAAGTTCATCATACTTCCCCTCTTCTACGATCACATTGCACTCCGGCCACCCCTTTTCGTTCCTTTTCCGGCCCCATTTCCTCCCGGAAGAAGACCTAAAAATACCCGAAAACCGGCTAGCCGAAGAATTCCTAGAGTGACGCCCAAAAGAGGGGTGTGAAGGCGACTCCATTGGACTATTGTAATTGGGAGTCGCCTGCATAGAGGAGGACTTGTCCCCATCATGAGAGTCCCTTGAAGGGCTCTGTACATAGTACACTGGCCGCTTCGGAGACCTCGAAGGCGATGATGGGGCTAAACTAGTTATATCAGACTCAGACTTTGTGTGCAACATATTTCAAAACCTCAAAAAAACACACAGCTATTTTCACAATGGAAGTGAGAATTTCACTTCATGTACAAGAAATAATACAGAAAATGGCCAAATTTTCACAAGGGAAGTGATAATTTCACTTGATATGACAAATTTTTCAACACCCAGAAGATTTTGAATTGTGATTGAGGAGTTGAAGAACTTGAAACACTAAAATTTAGAGAAAAAAGAACAGAAAATTAACAAATTGTTATCAAAGTGGCTAAACAGAGACAATGAACAAAATAATATGGAATAATACTGGGTTTCTTTCCACAGAATTTAGAAAAATCGGTAAAGCAAGTAATATAAGCAATTTATGGTGAATTCAATTAACTAAACATCAAAAGAAGCTCAAACCAAAGTGCCAAATGACAGAAGAATTTACAATTCAAACCCAGAAGCGAAAATAGGACCGCAGTTTGAACCAATTCAAGGAACCCACATCATAATTCTTCTCTGTCTCTCTCCAACTTTGTCTCTGTAGTCTATACTGTACTGTGTATGAAAGAGAACCAGTGATTTATACTCTTTGTACGGCCAATAAGCGCATAGCTTCGGAGAGAAAAAAACCACTGGCAAAAAAGCCAACAACCGCCGTGGCAATGACTCAACACCCGAGGCTCGGATCCCGAGCCTGAGACCGGACCGTAGGGTTGGAAGATAAGTGTCGGCAGTAAGAGGCCAATAATATCAGAATATGAACCTAATCGGATTTGTTTATTATTTATACGGGTATTTTAACAAGCTTACCTAATTGAATGGAGTGTGCTGTATTTGTTGTTGGTCCTATAACTTAATTTACATAAATGCCCTCACATTATGCCCATTATGGTGCATAACTGGGGGTAAAGTTGTAATTTCATAAGCCAACATATTTAAAATGAGACCCACCACAATCATTGTCCATTTAGTTGGAGGAAATGAGAAGTGATAGGCATAATTCAGTGGAGGAAAAAGGAAGGGACTAGGACTGCCCATTGCATCTCTTACCCTAGAAGTGGGAGTAAACGTAGAAAAGAAATTCATTGGCACCATCTAAAAAAATGTAATTATTAAAAAAAAAGGTTATAATAATTGTATTTAACAATCATCCATGCATAACGTGGATAATTTTTTTATTTGTCAGTGAACAAAAAATTAATTTTGTATTTTACATATTTATCTATACAAGTATAACTATATAAATTAATACATTTAAAAATGGTATACAAGTCAAACCATGCAATGCAATATTCCTTCACTTAATTTATTTTCTCAACCAAATAAAATGAGAAAAATACTCTTTTACATTTTTTCTTTTATTCTTTTAGAATTGTCTCTTTCAGCCTCTCATACCTTTTCTTCTATTCAATTTTTCATCCTTCAAACCAAACAGGACAAAAGTTTTCCGAAGTTTCTTTAATTATGTCAGGCTTCTTTTTCAAGGGTGTTGGGAGAAAAAGAGCTCCTTATAAATACTTTGGCAAAAGTGTAAAAAAATTCTTCAACTATTTTAAAATTATAATAAATCCTCCTTATTTTTGATTGTAAATCATACATTAAATTATTAAAAAATTACAACTTTACCCCCTCCTGATCATCGGACATCATTTTTCGGGGGCATCAAAATTATCTACCCCACCTATTAATTTATACAAAACTTATAAAATATCATAAATATAACATTCTCACAATACCCTTCAGAGGCATCTTGCAACTAATCAATAATTTAAGGAGTTGTTTTGCACTTTTACCTAATAATAATAAAACAATAACAATAATAATAATAATAGTAATAATAACAATAACTAATAATAATAAGTTATATTAATAAAACTAATAGTAATAGTAATAGTAATAATATTAATAGTAATTATAATAATAGCAATAATAATAATAATAATAATAATAATAATAATAGTGTTTTTTTTTTTTTTTTTCACTTTTTCCATAGATCTAACAGGAGAAATGTGAGTATGATATATATATATATTAAATCAATAATAGTA